AAAAAAAAAAAAAAAAAATCCCCAATTTTCGGTTTAAAAAAAGTACCCTGAAATCCACATTTTTCCATGGTTAAAATGAAACACCACCTTTATATTGATGTGTATATGTAGTGGTGTTTCATTTTAACCATGGAAAAATGTGGATTTTGGGTAACTTCTTTTAAACTGAAAATTGGTTTGGTTTGGTTTTTAATTGGAGAAAACCAGGATCCCTGATTATCGGGAATATTGCAACCCAAATGTGGTTGGTTAACAGTATCAGGATAGGGCAGCCTCATGTTCAATTTATAGCACCATGCAAACCAACCCCAAGGATGTTTTGCTTGTTGGTTTACCATTTTATGGCGCTATACATTGTCTCAACTTTTGGCTAGTTAATCATATCATAGATGTAAAAAGTCCCCAGCGTCATTTGAAAACAAGTAAATGAAAGGTTTAGCCTAAACTAACCTCTTTAAAACAATGGAAGCAGACCTTTATGTCCCCACCTTTAACTGCCCCTCCTCTTCCTTACTAGACCTAGCAAAATCTTAGAATTGGACCATGCAAGAGAAGACTAGCACTTTCAGTTCACCAAAACAGCATAGCTTGGATTATTTATGAATATGTGGCATTTGAATGCAAGTGTTCTGGCAACACACACAACTGCAAACATACAGTACTGTGCAGTCTGATAACATTAGGCTAGACATTGTCGTGAAGATAATGCTGGGGATACTTACCATTAGAACTACAGTAGCTCAAAAAAAACCTAACAAAATCATTAAGCGACTTTCCTGAAATAAGAAAAGCAACCTTCTTAAACCACCAAAACCTGATTATCCACTGGGTATAAAATTGTACATGTGTAACTGATTCCACAAGGCACAAGGCAGGGGATCATCAAGTCCATAGTCTTTAATAGACATAGCAACTGACTTAATCTATCCTTGTACTTAATCAACTGACTTAATCTAAGCTGCTGCTCTCCCAGGAGAAACCACAAGTATACAGATGTTCAGGTTTTCTCCCAGAGTATAAATGGTCGCTCAAGGAGAAAAATAACCTGAGGCCAGTCAGAGTTAAATCGCACGCAGGAGAGTTTCTCCCTACTTTAACTAGGATGGCAGCACTGAGGTAGCTGGATCTTCGATGTGAACAGGAAGAGCTTTTCTCCAGGCAGAGCTTTTCTGCTTCCAGATCTACACTAGTTCTCCTAATGGCACATCCCTTCATATCACTAGTGTATATAGCTCTGTCAGTAGAACTTCGTAATTCAAGCAAGGGCTTAGAAAGTCATCAACCCCGTTCTAATTTGTGTTTTAGATTCCCTGAGGAACTAGAAGCTGCAGGTGTGACTGGTTCCTGTCGAATATAAAATTTAAACATATTTTGCTCAGAAATTTTTCTGAAAAGTCAGCTAACAACAAGCATATTGTGTGCCAACTGTCCTACCTTTTTGAGGGAGGGACAGAAAGCCAGGCCTTTCCTTGCCAGATTCATTAATTTTAAACAAAAGGAGCTGATTATGCATTAAGAAAGGGAGAAAAGAGTTGTTGCTTCAGAATGCAAAATTCTTTTTCCAGGCTTGCTGTGTAGATTCAATGAAGCAAAGAAAAGAGTGATGCTTTTTCTCCTTAACTCAAAACCAGGATTCATCTCAGTAAGTTTAAAAGATAATTTCTTTATTGAGTTCCAAAAATTGAAGAGCTTTGCCATTGTGAAGAAAGAATCGGACACATGCACAAGAATTAGAAACCGTTTAAGATTGTACAGCTCAAAAGAAAACAGGTTTGAAAGATTACAGGTATAGTAACAAAATGACTTGTTGTAGAACTTGAACTATTTAATTCTGCATAGACAAGAATCCATTATGTTTAGTTGTGCTAGACTCGCACCAGTATTAAACAACCTCTGGATAATCTATTTTATTTGAAAAGCTTGGAATTATCAATTAGTCTAAGGAAATTTAAGGGCACGTCTACACATGACCATCAGCTACTTTGCCGTAATGATGCACTTCCCTAGTATAATGCGCCACTATGATAAAGTAGCTGCTAAAAATAACCATGCACTGTGCATATGGTGCAGTATGGGCTGTTACTGCACCATGACTTGTTTCTTTAAAAAGGTATTAAATTGCAGCGCAGTTGCCATAGCAATACATACACATGCGCCCTGTTACTCAAAATACTGATACCATTCAATCTGGTTATATGAAATCTGGATATCCTATTTATTGTAATAGTTTTTCTTTTATTAACATATTTATGTTCATTTCACCAATTGTAAAATGCTGTTGCAGAAAATCGTAATATATATGTCCCAAATGAACATCTAGACAAATTATTTATTTTTCTCACTAAGTCCCAATATTTTCTTGTAATAGGAGGAAGTTTGTACTGTTCCCGGACAATAACATAAGATGGCTCAAATAAATCTAGAGACCATTTCAAATTTATATCTAAACTATCTGAGACCTGTAGCCAGGGCTGTCCCTGGGGGACGGCGAATCGGGGTGACCGCCCCGGGCCATACACTTCGGGAGGCCCCGCAGACCTGGGTGGAGCAGTGGTGGTGCAGAGCTGGGTGGAGCAGTGTCTCCACGTCCAGCTGCACGCTATCGTCCCCCCTACTGCTGATGCTGCCACCGCCAATGGGGGCAGCAGCTTCTTTGGGTCAGGGGCCTGTGGGATCAGAGTGGGGGCAGGGCCCCACATGGGCTGATTTGCCCTGGGCCCCACACCCTGCTCAGGTCGTCTCTGCTTGGAGAGCTCTTGCAGTGGGAAAGGTCTTTTATTCAGCTCTTCAAAAAGTTCACTCATATGCTGAAGTTTTCAACCAGTTTATATTAACTTATATTAACGTGTCTTATTGGCAGCATACTAATACAGTTTTATCATGGAAGCTAAATACTAAAATCAGTGAGCGTATAACAGACTCTTATATTTAGTGAGCTGCTAAACATTCATCTGCATCTTCTGTAAGAGGCAATTGAAGAAACTGCATAAATTTCTGTCAGTTTCTTGTAAGAGGACACTTAAAACTACTTCTCCAGACTTAGAGTTCTTTATACCAGCTTACAGACTGAACATAGAAAATGATTGAAAGTCATAAGCATAATAATAGTACCCCATCCTTACTGGGCCCTTTTCATCATTAGATCTCAAAGCACTTCACAAAAGAAGTAAGTATCGTTATTCTCTTTTTTCACGTAACTAATCTGATATTCCTATGCACGTTTATCATCTTTGCTGCCTGCCTCTGGCCCCTCTCCAATTTCTCCCAAGGTGTAGCACCTTGTATTTGTCAGCACTGAACATCATCTGGTTAGCTC